TCATAAGGTCATAGCCAAAAAGATCACTTACCAGTAATCCATGATCAATAGCATCATATGCAGCAGTGATGCATTTCCTAAACAAACATTCAGTGCTAAATAATAAACTGGACACAAAGCCTTCTCAGTTGAATGAGATTGTCTACATGCAAACCGAACACACGGTAAACATCACTCCACTCCAGAAAAGGAAGTTTGTAAAAAATAGCACAATCAGTTTAAAAAGGAACTTAAGATTAGAAACAGGATGATAGTCTGACACGTTTTCTGAAACAAGAAAAGATTTCTTGAGAAGCAGGTGAAGCAAAGTCCTCTTAATTGACTATGGAAAACAAATGTCTTAAAAACAGTTGATCAACAGTTATAAAAGAAATAATACTTTCATATGTGAACAAGATTTTTAAAGTATTCATTATTTTTTTGTAGTTACATATAATTATTTTATAGTTATATTTAGCAATCCTTGGTGGGATACAGCCAGTTTGTTGAAAGAAAGATTTAGCAATATTTGTTCTCTCTCATAAACATGCAAGATTTCAGGTATGTCTTGCTACTTCTACTTACACTTAGGTCACACTACACATGCATGTACATGTTTATGTAAACACACTCATCTGAGTTTTCTTTTATTTTATCTTAATAGTTCTTGTTTTTACTGCTTTTCCTTTCATATCCATGGGGAAGCAGAAAAAGAATCTTTCCTCTGTAAGCCATGAGTATTGTAAAAGTCAACTAAAATGCCAGGTGCAATGGGCTAGTAACCCCCTTTTCCCATACAGCTTACTAAAAAGAAAAAGAAGTAAACCGTCAAAGTGGGATGTTTGAATGTGTGTGGATGTTGGGCGAATGATAAGAAAGAGATGATTGTGGATGTTATGAATGAAAAGAAGCTGGATGTCCTGGCTTTAAGTGAAACAAAGCTGAAGGGGGGAGGAGAGTTTCAGTGAGGAGAAATAAATGGGATTAAGTCAAGGGTTTCTAATAGAGTTAGAGCTAAGGAAGGAGAAGCAATAATGTTGAAGGATAAGTTATGGCAGGAAAAGAGGGAATATAAATATATAAATTCAAGGATTATGTGGAGTAAAATAAGGTTTGGATGTGAAAAGTGGGTTATAGTAAGTGTGTATACACCTGGTGAAGAGAGAGGTGTAGAAGAGAGAGAGATTTTGGGAAATGTTGAGCGAGTGTATGGGGAGTTTTGAACCAAGTGAGAAAGTACTTGTGGTTGGGATCTCAGTAGTACCGGTTCCTAGTAACCAGTTGCCAGTAACCAGTTACTAGTAGTATGACTCACTAAGAACTGTCTGTGTGAATCATTTGTTATTCACTACTGTTGCTGACCATAGCATGTTTTTGAACGCCACTCACCCCTAGGCATCATTCGTGAGTCAGTCTTAAGATAGAGAGCAGAGAGGCAGGGCTGGCCTGTGCTTCCCATATTTTCCGTACTAAACAGCCTACGGGAGTGTTCTTACCCAATCCACGTTTCGAACCCCCACATGACAGGGATCCCAATGCTAAAGTGTGTAAAAATGTAGTGGAGGGAGTAGTAGATAAATTTGGGGTGCCAGGGGTAAATAAAAATGGAGAGCCTTTAATTGAATTATGTGTAGAAAGAGGTTTGGTAATAATACATGTTTTATGAAAAAGAGGGTAAATAAGTATACAAGGTATTATATAGCATGTAATGAAAGTAGTTTGTTAGATTATGTATTGGTGGATAAAAGGTTAATGGGTAGGCTTCAGGATAAACACGTTTATAGAGGGGCAACAGATATATCGGATTATTGCAGCTACAGTTAGAGTAAGAGGTAGATGGCACAAAAGGAAAATAGCAACAGTAAGAGAGACATGAAAGTTTATAAACTAAGGGAGGAGGAAGTTAGGGTGAGATATAAGCAACTATTGGCAGAAAGGTGGGCTAGTGCAAAATGCAGTGTTAGAATGTGGGGCAGAAGTTTGTGGCTATAGGAGGGTGGGTGCAGGAGGAAAGAGAAGTGATTGGTGGATTGATGAAGTAAAGGGTGTGATACAAGAGAAAAAGATAGCTTATGAGAGGTTTTTACAAAGAAGTGATATATGAAGGGCAGAGTATATGGAGAGTAAAAGAAATGTGAAGAGAGTGGTGAGAGAGTGTAAAAGGAGAGCAAATGATAGAGTGGGAGAGGCACTGTCAAGAAATTATGCTGAGAGCAGCAAAAAATTTTGGAGTGAGATAAACAAGTTAAGAAAGCCAAGAGAACAAATGGATTTGTCAGTTAAAAACAGAGTAGGGGAGTTAGTAGATGGGGAGCTGGAGGTATTGGGTAGATGGCGGGAATATTTTGAGGAACTTTTAAATGTCAATGAAGAAAGGGAGGTGGTAATTTCATACACTGGCCAGGGAGGTACATCTTTTAGGAGTGAAGAAGAGCAGGATGTGAGTGTGGGGGAGACGCAGAGGCATTACATAGAATGAAAGGGGGGTAAAGCAGCTGAAACTGACAGGATCAAGACAAATGTTAAAAGCAGGGGGATATATAATGTAAGAGTGGTTGGTATTTTTGTTTAATAAAACAGGGGAAGGTACCTAGGGACTAGCAGAGAGCATGTTTATTTCCTTTATATAAAAGGAAGGGAAGGAAGGGGTAAAGGAGGTTTTGTGGGCGAAGGGCTTGGACTTCCAGCAAGCGCGCATTAGCGTGTTCGATAGGAGTGAATGGAGACGAATGGTATTTGGGACCTGACGAGCTGTTGGAGTGTAAGCAGGGTAGTATTTAGTGAAGGGAGTCGGGGAAACCGATTATTTTTATATAGCTGGACTTGAATCCTGGAAATGGGATGTACAATGCCTGCACTTTAAAGGAGGGGTTCGGGATATTGGCAGTTTGGAGGGATATGTTGCGTATCTTTATATGTATATGCTTCTAAACTGTTGTATCCTGGGCACCTCTGCAAAAACAGTGATTATGTGTGAGTGAGGTGAAAGTGTTGAATGATGATGAAAGTATTTTCTTTTTGGGGATTTTCTTTCTTTTTGGGTCACCCTGCCTCGGTGGGAGACGGCCGACTTGTTAAAAAAAAAAAAAAAAGTTGAATGAGTGTACCAAGTAAAATGTATGGTAGGGTTATTATTGAAAGAATTAGAGGTAAGACAGAGAGCAGGATTGCAGATGAGCAAGGAGGCTTTAGAGTGGGTAGGGGATATGTAGATCAGGTGTTTACATTGAAGTATATATGTGAACAGTATTTAGATAAAGGTAGGTAAGTTTTCATTGCATTTATGGATTTAGAAAAGGCATATGACAGAGTGGATAGGGGAGCAATGTGGCAGATATTGCAAGTGTATGGAATAAGTAGTAAGTTACTAAATGCTGTAAAGAGTTTTTATGAGGATAGTGAGGCTCAGGTTAGGGTGTGTAGGAGAGAGGGAGATTACTTCCTAATAAAAGTAGGTCTTAGACAGGGATGTGTAATGTCACCATGGTTGTTTAATATCTTTAATATATTTATGGGGAGAGGGGTGGGATTAAATTATGGGGAATCAAATACAAAATGGGAGTTGACACAGTTACTTTTTGCTGATGATACTGTGCTTTTGGGAGATTCTAAAGAAAAGTTACAAAGGTTAGTGGATGAGTTTGGGAGGGTGTGTAAAGGTAGACAGTTGAAAGTGAATATAGATAAGAGTAAGGTGATGAGGGTATTGAATAATTTAGATAAAGAAAAATTGGACATCACATTGGAGAGAGGGAGTATGGAAGAAGTGTATGTTTTCGGATATTTGCTAATTTACTTGTCAGCGGATGGGTTTATGAAGGATGAGGTTGACAAAAGAACTGACGAAGGAAAAAAGGTGAGTGGTGCATTGAGGTATCTGTGGAGACAAAAAACATTATCCATGGAGGCAAAGAAGAGAATGTATGAAAGTATAGCGGTACCAACACTCTTATATGGGTGTGAAGCTTGGGTTGTAAATGCTGCATCAAGGACACGGCTGGAGGCAGTGATGTCCTGTCTAAGGGCAATGTGTGGTGTAAATATTATGCAGAGAATTCGCAGTGTGGAAACTAGGTGTGGAGTTACTAAAAGTATTAGTCAGAGGGCTGAAGAGGGGTTGTTGAGGTGGTCTGGTCATTTAGAGAGAATGGAACAAAGTAGAATGACTTGGAGAACATATAAATCTGTAGGGAAAGGAAGGCAAGGTGGGGGTCACCCTTGAAAAGGTTGGAGGGAGGGGGTAAAGGAAAAGGTTTTGTGGGCGAGGGGCTTGGATTTCCAGCAAGTATGCGTGAGTGTGTTAGATAGGAGTGAATGGAACTGAATGATTTTTGGGACCTGACGAGCTGTTGGAGTGTGAGCAGGGTAATGTTTTGTGAAGGGATTCAGGGAAACTGGTTAGCTGGACTTGAGTCCTGGAAATGGGAAGTACAATGCCTGCACTTTAAAGGAGGGGTTTGGGATATTAGCAGTTTGGAGGGACTATCTAAACTGTCGTATCTGGGTGTCTCTGCAAAGACAGTGATTATGTATGAGTGATGGTGAAAGTGTTGACTGATAATGAAAGTTTTTTCTTTCTTTTCGGATTTTTCTTTTTTTTGGGTCACCCTGCCTTGGTGGAAAATGGCCGATGTGTTAAAGAAAAATTTATTATTAATGCTCAACAGGCCTGTAAGAAAAATAATTAGCTTTACTAGGTATCCCAGAAAGGGGATACAGTTAGAAGCTGTCAAGTTATATCAGTTCCTCTGATATAACTTGAGAATACTTTCTGATCAGCCTCAAACTTTCAACACTAGTGTATTCTGCTTAGAGGAAAGTTCAGATTGTTAATGGGCTCTTTACTTCCCAATTTAGTTTTATTTGGAATGAATACACATGAAACTGACAGTTGTCAAATGACAACTAATATGGTGACCAAACAAAAATGTACTTGAGGTTTTTATAAAAGTACCTTTACAAACCTCTTCTCATGTCTTCACACAGACAGTGTTGGGTTTAAAGGAAGAGGTTAAAAATTATTCTTTACAAATATTTATTGCATGGTAAAATACAAAAAATGTAAGATGAGTAACAATCACAAAACAATATATAGTATAAAAATTATAATATATTTTTTTAAGACGGGTAATTTACAAGCAAAAATTTATGAGGGTTACCAATAAAGCTCAACAAGATTATGAATACTGTATGGGCTGACTTCGCAGTTTTAATTTTTCTTCACGTAATCGCCGCGCTGCTTCTTTCTTACGATCAATTTCATCTTGTGTGCATCTCAGTGACTGAGAGAGTGATTGCTGTGAGTTGGACATTTCAGACTGTGCTTTTTGACTGCCATACTGGGCTGATGGATAGAACAAATACTAATGGTTAGTTCCTCCATATGCACTAGTTTAAGAGTAAAGGCAATTCAAACAATCACCAGACAAATTCAGCAAAATATTTAAGAAAATCTATTATGCAACTTCTATACCAGATACATACTTGGCTTTATATAATGCCTGCAATAATAATCCAGACCTCCCTTTCATTATTACAAAAATTGTTAAAAAGCAGCAATATAAACATTATAGAACAAAAACTGTAATACTTAGTATTTACATTAATATTTTGTCATTTCCTTCTTGGCTTTGATGAGCATATGAAGCCATCTGGGCATGCTTTCATTCAGATTCCTGAAGTAATCAGTAGACAATTGGTTGACCCAAATGTCCTTTATCTGCTGCTGCAGGCACAACATGGATGAAATGTGGAAGGATTCCATCTTCTTTTTCATGATATTTTGGGCATTCTCAGTAGGATTGAGGTCTGGACTATTCCCTGGCCACTGAAAAACCTCAAATTTTTCCCAAGAAGCCACTTGGTTACCTTTTTGGCCTTGTGACAGGAGGGGGCAGGGTTGCTATCATGCATAAAGGTGGTGCAACCGTGAATTTCAAAAGTATTCAACAGGTGGTTCTCGAGAACAATAATGTAGTGTTTGGCATTCACTGTAACTTTTGGGGAAGGAAGTACACCCCCATGACCAAGTAAACCACAAAAGCAAACCAGTACCACAATGGATTGTGGATGCTTTACGGTACTTCATATGCAGGGGCACCTCACCCTGCTTTGATGACCTTGAATGCACTGAAATGTGGATTTGTCTGACCATGTGATTTTTTTTCAATCATCAACACTCCACTGAGTATATTTCCTGGCAAACTGCAAGAGTAGAGGCTTTCTTGCAGGATGATGACTTGACCGGCAGTTGTCTTTTTACAGGCAGTGATGGATACACCAGACTGGGAGGTCACCCAAGAGTTCAGGATGTTTATATTACTTATATTGTTGCTTTTAGTTGTAATACAGTCATATCAGGATTTCTATGTAGTTCTCTGCATAAAATGTTGTGTGTGTGTTTATACATCCACCTTGGCTGTCCAGTATGGAGTTTAGCAGTGGGAACAATGTCTGGTGGGAGACCACAGGTGGCAGCAAGTAATGCCAGTATGGTGGTCTTTGCTTGTCCAGTACAGTGACAAATTTCCTTCACTGTGGTTTTTTCTTGTCTCCAAGCCAATATACATTTTTTTTCTTGCTATTTATCTTTGATCAATTCACATTTATCCTCTTGGCACAAAATTACATAGCAATAACTACAGTTCCAAATCCTGGGCCCTTTGGGGCAGAGCAATGCAATGGAACACCTTATCTCACTGCCATGTATAGGCGAACTGAGAGGCGATACATATCTTGAGTTGACAGATCCCTCCAGAAAACATTCATATGAAGTATAGCAACAAATATGCAATATGAATCCTGACTGCTTTATACTGCTCATAATGGAGGCAGGTCAGACAGGTCACAAGGTCAAAAAAGTAATCAAGTGATTTGCTGAGAAAAAATTGAGGTTTTACAGTGGTCAGAGAATAGCCCATACCTCAGTCCTACTGAGAATGCCTGAAATATCATGAAAAAGAAGATGGAATCCTGTCACATTTCATCTACATTGTACTGCAGCAGCAGTTCAAGGACATTTGGGTCAACCTGTTATCCACTGATTACTTTAGGAATCTTGAGTGAAAGCATGCCCAAATCGCTTCATATGGTCATCAGGACCAAGGGGCATATGGTCATCAGGACCAAGAGGCATATGGTTATCAGGACCAAGAGGCATATGGTTATCAGGACCAAGAGCATGTTAGATAGGAGTGAATGGAGACGAATGGTATTTGGGACCTGACGAGCTGTTGGAGTGTGAGCAGGGTAATATTTAGTGAAGGGATTCAGGGAAACTGGTTACATATTTTATATAGCCGGACTTGAGTCCTGGAAATGGGAAGTACAATGCCTGCACTTTAAAGGAGGGGTTTGGGATATTGGCAGTCTGGAGGGATATGTTGTGTATCTTTATACATATATACTTCTAAACTGTTGTATTCTGAGCACCTCTGCAAAAACAGTCTTAGCACTTCTTTTTGATTATAATAATGATTATAATGCAAAAACAGTGATTATGTTTATGTGTGAGTGAGGTGAAAGTGTTGAATGATGATAAAAGTATTTTCTTTCTGGGGATTTTCTTTCTTTTTGGGTCACCCTGCCTCTATCGTAGGGGTTCTTAAATGGAGATATCGAGGGTTCACCATTTATCGTAGGGGTTCTTAAATGGAGATATCGAGGGTTGAAGGTAGACACACTTGTTGGATGGTAACGATATATATTGTCAGACTGAGATGATGGGAGATGGAGCCCAGCCTCTGCCTGTCCTAGCCTGGATGTCTAACGGCGACTGAGGCCGAGGCAGAGGTACAAACGTACACATGCACATCCCGTGACGTCACACAAAGTCACAGGCCTAAAAGGGATCTCCTATCTAAAGCACATGGATGATACTGATATGCTATACAACACAGGGATCAGCAACTATGTTGACACCTCGGTGGGAGACGGCCGACTTGTTTAAAAAAAAAAAAGTACCAAGTATTACAGATTTTGTTCTATAGTTATTTAATTATTTTCATAATAATAAAGGAAAGGTCCAAATTATATATGACAAAAAAATTATAAGAAAAGGACTTTACAAATAGCATTTATTCTAGCCTATCTTAGCTCCATAGTTATTAGTAAAATCAGTTATATGCTTCTATACATGACTTAATAATTAAGATATTCTTTGTATGTATGCATGCCAGCAGACCTAGAACACAACTAATAACCACCAAATAAAGATTGTATATACTGCAAACTGCACAATATATGCTTAACAAAAAATTTATATTCATATTTAATCATAATCCCAGATTCCTAAGCCAAGATAATGACATGCTTTACTAGAATCTAAATGCTTTACTGCTTCCATTCATAATTAAAACAGATTAAGCTACATAAAACAACAGATGTAGTATTTAACATTCCTGTGTACATAACCATTCACAACTGTAGATCTAGTCGAGATGGCACTGTAATTTACTATGAAACAAAACAAAATGTAAAAATATCATAAATACTAGAAATGTACATTACTGTACTTGTTAAAAATATATTTATACAATGTACTACCTACAATACCAAGAATTTAATTACATTCATATGGAGCTATATAAGGAATTCCACAAATTAATATAAAACTAGTGAGACTGTCAGAAACATTATGATTAAGAAAAACTGCCAAATTCACCTAATAATAAGGCGAGGCTTCTCATTCTGAACCATGAGACAAATATACGAGAACTGTGGAAGCTATCATATACTCTTTAGCCAAACTTTCTGAATGACTGGTAATAAGAAAATTAGCAGCTTCTCTGAAGACTATCTTGAGGAGAGAGATATGACAATGAGGGAACCTTCCTATAAAAAACAACCTTTCACTCTGTTAGTTGATTTAATAGGAAGAGAGACTCCTTTAAGGCCACTGAAGTCGTTTGATGTGTCCCAACCTCTCTACAACACTCCCTTTGATTTGTACAGGTCCGCCATCACAAATCTGGCAATCAGACATCTGGTTCCATCAGTTATCCGGCACTAATTTCGGCTAGCATAATTTCAAATTTCCAGGGTCGTCACACCAACTTGCTGGTACTGTTTGGTGGTGCTACTTGCTGCATAAGTCATTCCAATTTCTTTCTCTCATTTATTGTTATAGCCTGCTTACTTTCAGCCCTACCCATGGTTCCAAAGAATAAAAGAAATGCTTCTCATTGTGTAAAGCACCTACACAGTATACATTGTCCATTAACCCTTAAACTGTCCAAGCAGATCTATGTTCACAGGCGTAGTGCTCAAAAAGCAGATCTACGTTTTTTTACATATTTTCAATAACAAAAAAAAAAAAAAGTAGATCAAAGTTTTTTACATGTTTTCAAATGTAAAAAAAGAAAAGATGATCTACTTTTTTTACATACCTTCAAATGCTGAAAAAACGTAGATCTACATTTGGACAGTTTAAGGGTTAAAGATAAGGTGGCTTTGAAGCCACTGTCGGTTGCTATGAGCTCAGTCTCGTGATGCAGGGGAAATAATGCTTTATTATTATGCTAATATCAATGCTACAGCTTATTTGCCTATCACAATTGATCTAATATGACATAATAAACATTACAAATAACATTATAAATAATATTTGACATAATACCGAGCAGTTCGACAGAGGTATGAAGAGGGTATGGGATACAAGTACCATTCTCCTATCCCTGTCTTGGGGCTTATATTAGAGAAAACAGAGTATAACACAGGACTAACTGTGATATACAGTGGAACCTCTACTTACGAGTTTAATCCGTTCCATGACCTTGCTCGCAACTGGATTTGCTCGTTTGCAGAGTCAATTTTCCTCATTTAAATTAAATGAAATGGAATTAATTTGTTCCAGTGGAATTCCAGGCACGAGAAAATACAGTGGACCCCCGGTATTCGACATTAATCGGTTCCTGAGAGTTCATCGAATATCGAAAAGCGAATCAATTTTCCTCATAAGAAATAATGGAAATCAAATTAATCCGTGCAAGACACCCAAAAGTATGAAAGAAAAAAAATTTACTACATGAAATATTAAGTTTAATGCAATAGAATAATTACAATAACAATAAAATAATTGACACTTACCTTTAATGAAGATCTGGTGATGATTGATGGGATGGGAGGAGGGGAGAGGTGTTAGTGTTTAGAAGGGGAATCCCCTTCCATTAGGACTTGAGGTAGCAAGTCCTTTTCCGGGGTTACTTCCCTTCTTCTTTTAATGCCACTAGGACCAGCTTGAGAGTCGCTGGCAGCCTCACCATGCCTAATCACACTATTATGCCACTACGATTCTTAAATCTTTCAAACCAACCTTTGCTGGCCTTAAATTCACTCACATCAGCA